CAGGGCATGGTGATCAGGACAAGGACACAGTGATCAGGGCAAAAACACAGTGGTAAGGACCAGAACACAGTGATCAGGACCAGGGCCCAGTGATTAGGACCAGGGCTCAGTGATCAGGACCAGGGCACTGTGATCAGGATCAAGACTCAGTGATCAGGACCAGGACACAGTGATCTGGATCAGGACTCAGTGATCATGATCAGGGCTCAGTGATCAGGACAGGGCACTGTGATCAGGATCAGACACAGTGATCAGGACCAGGACACAGTGATCTGGATCAGGACTCAGTGATCATGATCAGGGCTCAGTTATCAGGACAGGGCACTGTGATCAGGACCAAGGCTCAGTGATTAGGACTGATGTCCAGTGTTCAGTACCAGGATACAGTGATCTGGACCAGGGCCCAGTGATCAGGATCAAGACTCAGTGATCAGGACCAGGGCACTGTGATCGGGTCCGGGGCCCAGTGATTAAAGTGAGACACAGTGATAAGGACAAGGACACAGTGATCAGGACCAGGACTCAGTGATCAGAACCAGGATTCAGTGATCAGGACCAGGACTCAGTGATCTGGACCAGGACTCAGTGATCAGAACCAGGACTCAGTGATCAGGACCAGGACTCAGTGATCATGATCAGGGCTCAGTGATCATGATCAGGGCTCAGTGGTTAGGACCAGGGTTCAGTTGTCAGGATCAGACACAGTGATGAGGGCAAAAACACAGTAGTTAGGACCGGGACACAGTGATCAGGACAAGGACATAGTGATCAGGACCAGAGCTCAGTGACCAAGACCAAGACACAGTGACCAGAGCACATTTCTATTGTGGGATCTTGTTTTATTTTTCCCCTGAGAGCCCTGGTTAGTCTGGACGTGTGCCTGAAGCAGAACCTGGCTGGATACGCCTAGGCGAAGGGGACTTTGTTTCCACGTGCGCTGCGAACCTGCCTTGGGTCATGTCACACACTCTTCTCTCTGTAGCCTCCCCCGACTTCTGTTCCCACCTTCACTTAGAGTCTGAGAACCTCTGTCTTTGTGATGAATTTATTGCACCAGGGTGGCCTGTGTTGGGATGGGCAGGTGGCTTCTGAGGAGGCTGAGCACTGATGTCTAGCTGGGCTCCAGGAGGCTCCTCCATGCTCCTCCCTGCAAACACAAGGGGGTCAAGGCCCGGGGGAGCTCCTGGGGCGGGCGGGGTGCTTGCCCATGCTCATGCCATCCCCGGGCTGGCTCGTGGGAGATTGCAGTGCAATCGTGGCCACTGCCTTGCCGGGAGGTAGAGCCGGGGCCCCGGCGAGCCCGGCCTCGAGGCCCGCCCACGTCCGCAGGGGCGATGAGGGCCCAGACGTCCGAGTGGCACGTGCTTGGCAGGCAGCCAGCGCCCCACCCAGTGTTCGCCCACCGCTCTGCCTGCTCGTCCCCCACCTGTGCCTGGGTGGCTCCTGCTCAGTACTGGGGGCCCTCTGTGCTGCCAGGGGTGCCCCGGACGCTCGTCACGGTCAGCGCTGTGCTATAGAAGAGGCTGAGCAGGAAGAGGGTGAGCAAGGTGACGGTGGTGGGCCACAAGCTGGCACCCGGGACGTCCTCCTCCATGTCCTCCCGAGACAGGTCCAGCAGTACCCAGGGCAGCGGCTCCTGGCAATCTGCAAGACACCGAGGGGCTGCTAGGCGCATGCTGCACACAGGGGCCGAGCCGACGCCCCCCTGCCAGCGCCCGAGTTGGGACAGCAGGCCTGAGGCCATCTCAGGGAGGATGAAGTAGCAGGTGCCCACAGGAAGGGACTGCCCACAGGACCTCTGTCTCTGAGGGTGTCGGGCACCTTGAGACTTGGGCACTGTCTTTGCTGCAGCAAGAAGAGCTTAAGCCCAAGGCCGCAGGACCCTAGCCCTTGCCGTGGCCTCGGCCAGCTCTTCCCACGTCCTTGGCCAGCCCTCACCAAGCCCCTGCTCTGGGCTGGACTTGGCTTGGGCCCTGGGTGGGGCCAGAGAGGACCAGTCAAGCCCACCGTCAAGGTGCTGTGGGCTGAGACATAGGTCTGGGTCTGGGGTTCAGTGTGCCAGGGGCTGGACGGGAATGACCGGGGCCCTCTGTTGCCCTCCCTGGAGATGCAGCCGATGAGCCACAAGGAGAGTGAAGGAGGCCCAGGGGGAGGCTACTGGGCAGCCTGTCACCTTCGGGGTTCCTGGCACACGCCTCCCATGCCGTATGGGATTTGGACCTGCGAGTCATCTGCTGACACATCCATCATTCATCCATCCTTCTACCCACGCATTCTTCTGTCTGTCACACGTCCTATGGTCCATCCACCTGTCTTCCTGCTGTCCCCATGTCCTTAGGAAACTCCTCCCCTAGGGCAGGTTCTAGTCCCTGGTCCCTAGTGGCTGGAGCATCTTTTCTTGGGCAACACCTCCCCAGCTAGCACCTCTCTCTCCCTGGTGCCCTCTGGTGACTGGACCCTCGAGATAGGGCAGTGGCCAGGTGCACGGGGCACTCCCCGCTTGGCCCTGGGAGCAGAGGGGTGGCCAGGAGGCCAGGTTCCCTGGGGATGCCCAGAAGGTGTCTGAGACAAGAGCAGGGGCCCGCTGCCCCCTTGTGGGGCCCTGGTGCCAGGTGTCCCTGGGCGGTCATGGGACTGCCCTCTGCCAGGAGCCCCGTGCAGCAGCTGGGGGGGTGCACTGGTAGGGGCGGTCTTTCTGACACCCCTGCCGTCACCCTGTCCACAATTTGGGTTGTATTCAGGCTCCAGAATGACTGGGGTCTCGAGTCTGGGGACTTGGCCGCCGGGGAGGCATCTGTGGAATTGGTCCCTGATCCATGTCGAGCTGGGTGATGGGGGTGCCTGAGGCAGGAGGGGCCAGGGGAAACCCGCTGGGGCTCAGGCGGGGACTCCCCAGGCCGCCCCGGAGCTGGGTCTGGGCTGTGAGCTTCCTGCAGCTGCAGGGCCCAGATATGTGTGTGCTTGTGTGTGTGCGCGTGTGTGTGCGTGTGTCTGCACGTGCACGTGAGCAGGAGTGCTGGAGAACGTGTGTGCATGTCTACGTTTGCACGCAGAGCCGTGGGATGCAGGTGGGGAGGCCATGCCCAGGTGGGTGGCCCCTTTTCTCTGCAAGTCAGGGGGCCAGCCTGCAGTGGCGTGTGGGTGTGTGGGTGTGCGGGGCCCTAGCGTCTTGCCTTCCTTCCCTCGCTGGCCTGCACGAGGGCGCAGCCTGCTCCCTGGCCGCCCTGTTCCCCTCCCCCGCTCTGTCTCGCCTGCTGCCCCTCTGCGTGGTTCTCTGCGGCCAGCGGGATCTCCCTGTGGCGCCTTCTGCCCGCAGGGCTGGCCAGGGCTGTGCCTGCCTCGCGCGCCTCCCCAGCCTCAGGCGTCGCCACCCACTTGGCCCCAACCACTGTGCACACGTGCTCACTCAGGCTCACACACACACACAAGCACATGGGTGTGAAGGCACGTCGAGGTGCCAGGCCCAGAGGGTCAAGACAGGTGGTGGAGGGAAGCAGCGGCTTCGGCGAGCATGGAGTTTATTGGAGGGCGGGTGGGCAGGTGGAGGCAGCTCAGTAGCAGACGCCGTCCACCTCGGACAGGACCACGGACACGTTGACATGGGTGGGTTTACCGGCCAGGCGGTCGATGGTCTTCTGGGTGAAGGCCATGGGCAGGGCCTCGTGGCCCACCATGCAGGAATAGCTGTCCCCACTCTTCCATGACTCGGCCTCCACACGCAGCATGCTGGTCACGGCGAACGTGGCAGCACCTTGGCTGGCCTCTGGCAGGGGTCCCCAGACCAGGTACTTCTCCCGGGAAAGCTCCTGGTTCCCATGCAGCCACCGCAGCAGCACCTCCTCGGGGCTGAAGCCCCGCACCACGCACGTCAGCGTCACCAGCTCGTTGAGGGCCAGCTCCTCCGACGGCGGCGGCAGCAGGTGGACCTGGGGCCGGAGGGTGTTTCCTGGGGGCAGAGGGGCCAGGTCAGAGGTCTGGGTGGGGAGGGAAAAGCCCCTTTGCCCTCTGGGCTCCCTGTGCCTCGCTTTCCCCCTGGGCGCTGGGCAGGAGCGCCCAGGGCTGTGGAGCGGGAGGCCGGGTAGGAGAGTGCCTCTCGCACTGCGGAGCTCTGTGTGGGGCCTAGCGGCGGGGTCCGTGCCCACCTAGGGTTTTGGCGATGGTGGCCGTCAGTGGGCTTTTGGACCCAGGGTAGGTGACGGTGCATGAGAAGTTCTCTCCGCGGTTCCATGGCTCGGCGCAGCCTGGCAGGACGCTGGACACGCTGTAGCAGCCGGAGGCATCACGCTGCGGGGTGCCCTGGATGGCTTCCTTCTCTCCCGAGGACTCCCAGGTGAAGGTGGCCCCCTGGGCGTCATCCAGGCCGCTCAGCGTACACGTGAGGTTGGCATTGGAGCCCAGGAGCAGGTCCTCGATCGCGGGCCGGTGCAGTGACAACTTCGGCTGGCACCGTGAGGGTAGGATGCTTTCTGTTGGTACATATTCTTGAGCAGAGAGGCCACAGCCCATCACCGCCCCTGCGGCCACCACCCCTTCCCTCAAACTCCAGCCACGGCCCCTCCTGCCCGCCCTCTGGGTGCTTAACTGCAGCCCACTTTTGTCTGAGGGAAGCCCCAGTGAGGGACATGGTTCCACCATGGGCACGTGGTGGCCCCCTCCCCCCCCCTCTGACCTTGGCAGGGCACGTCCACAGACTTGGAGCTGGACAGGTGCTGGACTTGGCATTTCTTGTTCTCTTCAGCCGGGCACTGGGAGGCCGGCAGGGTCAGCTGGCTGGTCATGGAGTACAGGCCTCCGGAGGTTGTCTGCACGGCGGGGAAGTTCGTGACGGACGTGCCCTGCCCGGTGTGGCTCCAGGTCACACTCACAGGCTGCGATGGGAAGAAGCCGGAGACCAGGCAGCCGATGATCGCGTTCCCGGAGTCGTCGACGCTGCTGAGGCTCAGTGGGAAGAGCTTGGGGTCGGTCTGCGTTTCTGCAACACAGGACACGCAGTGAGGCCCTTGAGAACCCCGAGGACCGTGAGGACAAACGATGCTCACCTCTCGTCCACACTGGGCAACACGCGCAGCGAGGGTTAGTGACCACCCCAAGGTGGCACAGCCTGGACCTGGGTCAGGACTGAACACATGCCTGGAGCTCCAGCATGTGGGCTGGGTCTCAGTCCTTGGATGCCGGCCACTGCCACACAGGGCCCTCGTTCTGACTGATGGCTCCCCTGCTGACAGCTCAGCCTGTGGGCACTGCTGCAGCCTCGGCTCCCCTCTGTGCAGGGTCTGTGGGTCATGAGAGGCGGGACCAGAGGGGCTCCAGGTGAGGACAGAGGCCTGAACTTGAAGCTGAGCCTGCACCGGGAGCTGGCTTGGCTGTGCTGCAGGGTGCACGGGGAGGAGAGCCTTCTGTGTCCCCACAAACATCTGTGGTCAGGGTCCTGGTCCAACCCCACCGAGGCCCCCAACAAGCAGAGGTGCCTCCCCACAATCTATAAGGGTCTCAAGACCAGAGGCCAAGTCCAAATCAGCCTTTCTGAGACGTCCTGCCCAGACAGGCCAGGCACACAGGGTGTCACCACGAGTGATGGAAGGAGCGAGGTCACAGATGTACCGGAGGCTTTATCATCCTCATGTGTCCCCAAGAAACACAAGGGCAGCCTGGTCTATGAACAAGGCTCTGGGGATGATCTATACTGAGCCCACATCCTCCCATTTACCAAAGCGTCTAGCCCAGCTCCTCTCTGCTCTTCCCAGCCCAGCCCAGCCCAGCCCCGCCCAGCCCCGCCCCGCCCACCCCAGCCCAGCCCAGCCCCGCCCAGCCCAGCTCAC